GTCCAGCAGGTCTCACCTTTACAACCCCTGGCCCCACATTCCAGGTTGAGTCCTGGCTGCATCTAACTGCTTTCTGGAGTGTCCCTGGTTTCCTCTGCGATTTTGGACTGAGTACCTATCTCCAGTGGCAGCCTGACATACTCCCAGTGAGAGCCAGCTTTTGGCATTCTATTGAGCTTGCCGAGACCTAGGGCAGGCTGCCCCCAAATATCTGCCAATGGCATGTTGATTACTTTGGTTTAAAGTTATTTAAGCCCTGACCTGTCAGGCTCAGTAGATTGGGCACCATCCCACAAAGCAAAGGTCACCAGTTTGATTCCAGTCCAGGCATGTGCCTGGCTTTCAGGTTTGGTCCCTGGATGGGATGCGTACGACAGGCAACTAGTCAATGTTGCTCTCACGCTGGTGTTGCTTTCCCTCTTTTCTCCCTCCCTTCCCCTCTCTTTAAAATATAAATAAATAAAATCTTTAAAAAAATAAAGTCTTCTGAGACTTGAAAAATAAATTACATAGAAGAAAATCTAGACACTAAGGTTACAGATCTTGGTCTAATCGAGGATTTTATGACTTTGACCTCAATGGCAAGAGAAGTAAAAGCAAGAAATGAATGGGACTACATCAAACTAAAAAGCTTCTGCAAAGCAAAAGAAACCATCATCATAACTAAAAGGCAACCAACCAAATGGAAGATATTTACAAACAACATCTTTGACAAAGGGTTGATCTCCAAAATGTATGAAGAGCTCATGCAACTCAACAACAACAACAACTTCAGTTAAAAAATAGGCAGAGAGCCCTGGCTGGCATGGCTCAGTGGACTGAGCACTGGCCTGCAAACTAAAGGGTCGCCGGTTCGATTCATAGTCAGGGCACATGCCTGGGTTGTGGCCAGGTCCCCAGTTGGGGGGGGGGTACAAAAGAGGCAACCACACATGGATGTTTTTTTAAAAATGGGCAGAGGACTTGAACAGACACTTCTCTCAAGAAGACATACAGGTGGCCAACAGATAAATGAAAAATGCTCAGTCTCACTGGTGATTAGGGAAATGCAAATCAAATGAAGACATCCAACATGGCAGAGAGTAGGTGGAAGTCACACTCACCTCTTCCCAGGACCAAACTGGAATTACAACTAAAATATAGAACAATCAGCCTGAGTTACCAACTGAAGACTCGCTGAACAGAGGCTTATAACTGGATTTATAGAACCTACCTCAGGACTTGGAGAAAGCACGGTGACCCAGAAAGGACAGGCCTGGCACCCGGTGCAGCACCTGAGCACCTGGAGGGCCGTCGGCTGCCAAGGTCCCCTCCAAGGAGTGTGGGGCTCCCCAGCCCAGAGCACGGGAGCCGGGGAGAGGAGCGCACCTCATATCTGGCTGTGAAAATCAGCAGGGACTCTCTCCTCCAGAGAGAGGTGGGAGTCTGCTGGAAACCAGGTGCCCTCCTGAAGGGCCAGCACGCACACTCTCGCTCACAGACACTCACCCTGGGCTGTGGCAGAGGGAGGGCAGCTCAGAGTGAACCAGAGTCCTGTGAGGAGAGACTGGGCTGTGTGGCTCTGGGGGGACAGCTGAAGGGACACCTTCCGGGACCCTTGTGCTGAGGCCTCTCCCACACCACCCACGCTTGCCGTCTTTCCTGGGTCCAGCACCCCCTCCATTCAGCATCAGCCTGGGGCATGCAATAGCCCCACCCTCTGGACTCCCTGTCACCCCGCCCTGCAGAGAGCTCTTGTCCTAAGGAGGAGTCGGCTGCCTGGGCCTAGGCAGACTCAAGGGGTGTCAGAGACTGTGTTGTGTGGCTGGAATCAAACTGGTGACCTTTGCTTTGTGGGATGGTGCCCAATCTACTGAGCCAGACAGGCCAGGGCTTAAGTAACTTTAAACCAAAGTAATCAACATTCCATTGGCGGATATTTGGGGGCAGCCCGCCCTAGGTCTTGGCAAGCTCAACAAAATGCCAGAGGCTGGCTCTCATTGGGAGCCCTCCTGCAAGCCTCACTGACACCGACCCCCCCCCCCACGGGAGCCCCACAAGCCCCACTGTCCTGATTCCGGCAGTCCCACCTTGCTGAGTAGGGCTGTCAAGGAGGTCCAGGCAGAACCTGGGACAGACTGAGTTGTGTGGCCCTAGGGCAGGAGCCATTTTTCCCTTGCACACCTGACTGGCACCACTGTTCCTGGGCAGAGCTCTCCCTTCTCACAGCCACATCTTGATCTGTTTGGGCCCAATAAACTCTACCAGCCTCACCCTGATGAATCCCTGAGGCCCCGCCCCACATCAGAGGTCTCTGAGCACCTGGTGGGTGGCAGCCAGCCTTGGTGTACCCAGGGACTTTGCTGAGTGGCCTTGGACCCAGCTCCGGCCCCGAGTTTGACTCTGTATTAGCCTGGTGAACACCACTCACCTCCACCTGGTGACTCAGACAATCTGTCTCAGGCAATGGCTGCTACCAGAGGTTCTTTCAGTGACTGAGCTTAACAGGCAGCTGGCAGGTGGAGGCAGGCACAGGCAGATCTTGGGGTGCCTTGGGGCATTTGCTGACCTGCCCCCCCAGGCTGGGTGCTGGTGGAAACCAGCCTCCATGAACAATTTTGCCCATCTCACACACGATAAACTGTTCATTGTTTTGTAGCTCCAGGGACCAGTTACAGGCAACACCTGACACTGGCCTACACTGGAGCCCCTCCCAAGAGGCCTCAGAACCAACAGACTCAGTGGCGGGCTTCAGACAACATCACAGCACAACCCGGTTAGCTCCACAAGCAGCACGTCCAAAGAGAGATCCCGGCAGGCACCAGGCCCCGCCGAGACAAATTCTGTCTCACTTCACACACAGCAGCTCACACACCGTGGCTGGGATCGACCCTCACGATCAGCCAGCCTGAGGATCAAATCCACACACAGACAGGCCAGCGGCAACCAGGCCTCAGCTACAACAGGAGAGCTCACGTAACCCACGCAAGGAACATTCCTGAAGCACCCAGCCCAGGTGATCAGAGGCCAACAGAACACCTACTCCATAAAGCCACCCTGTCTACCTAATACACAGAAATAAACGGAGAGGCAGCCAAAATGGGGAGACAAAGAAACACGTCCCAAATGAAAAACCAGGGGACATCTCCAGGAAAAAAAAAAAAACTAAATGAAATGGAGGCAAACAATCAACCAGAGTTCAAAATAGTGGCTCAAGGAACTGAGTGAAAAAAGGCCACAGGAATAAAAAAGAAGAATCAGTCTGAAATGAAGAACGCAAGAAGGAATCAGTACATTAGGTGAGACTGAGGATCAAATACGTGGTGTGGAAGACAAAGTAGCAGAAGACACCCAATCAGAGCAGCAAGAAGAAAGGAGAATTTTTAAAAAATGAAGATAGTTTGAAGGACCCTTGGGACAACATGGAGCATGACAATGTCTGCATTCTCGGGGCACCAGAAGGTGAAGACAGCGAGCAAGGGACTGAGCACCTATGTGAAGAAACAATGACCCCAAACTCCCCTAATCTGGTGGGGGAAGGACATGCACAAGTCCAGGAAGCTGAGTGTCCAAGACGAGTTGGACACAAAGAGGTTGACAGTGAGACACGTCATAATGAAAATGACACGGCTTAAAGACCAGGAGAGAATCCTAAAAGCCACCGGAGAAAAAAGCAGGTAGTTTACATACGAGGGATCATCAATTAGACTGTCATCCAATTTCTCAACAGAAACATTTCAGGCCGGAAGGGAGTGCCATGAAATATTCAAGGTGATGAAAAGCAAGGACCTATAATCAAGGCTACTTTACCCAGCAAGGCCCCATGACGGTCCACTGTCCTCGCCATCTGTCCCAGGAACACCTCCACAGCATCCATGAGGCCTCCCTTAGCCTCGATGTGGAGTGCCCAAAAGCGTGATGTTTTGGACGCGCTCCTCCGGGAGTGAGAGGCAGCCGCCAGGCAGCCGCCCGACCCCCGCCCGCCCCATCACTGAGGGTGACTCCGGAGGGGGCTCTCCCTGCGTTCGTTCCGCTGACCGCGGCCGCTCAGTCCTCAGGGAATCTCCTGCCCCAGCCCATGACCAACAGCCCACCTGGGTATCACATGGAACAGTCACTCTACTCTCTAAATATGAGTAAATAAAATATTAAAAAGAACAAAACACCTGTTACACAAGATGAAGAGCAGGCTGCAGTGCCCCCCTGCCGAAGTTTCCTTTGTTTCAGAGATCTTGGGTACACTCAGCTAACTGGCTGCTGGTTCTTCCTTCCTTTCTGCATTTTAATTCCTATGCTGATGTTTTACCTTCACCAATAAAGAGTAAACTGATAAGCCCTGGCTGGTGTAATTCAGTGGATTGATCACAGGCCTGTAAAACAAAGGGTCACTGGTTCAATTTCCCAGTCAGGGCACATGCCTGGGTTGCAGGTCAGGTACCCAATTGGGGGCATATGAGAGGCAACCACACATTAATGTTTCTCTCCCTGTCTTTCTCCTTCCCTTCCCCTCTGTCTAGAAATAAGTAAATAAATAAAATATTATTTATTCTAAAGATTTTTTCATTTTTTAGAGAGAAGGAAAGAGAGGAGAGAAAGAAAGGGAGTGAACATCAGTCTGTGGTTGCCTCTCATGCGTCCCCCACTGGGGACTGGCCTGCAACCCAGGCTTGTGCCCTGACTGGGAATCAAACTGGTGACTTTGGTTTGCAAGTCCATGCTCAATCCACTGAGCTATGCCAGCCAGAGATAAATAAATAAAATCTTTAAAAATAAAAAAGTGACCTGGGGAAAACTTGCCCCCCACCTTTGACCCCAATAAAAGCAGAACCCCAGTCCCACCCATTGCTAACAAGTTCCCAGCGATGCTGCTACTGGGCTGAGCGCCCCACTTTTGAGAACCCCCTGCTTAGAGGGGAAGAGCTCCCACCCCGTAAAGCTCACGATCTAGTTGGAGACGGTCAGGGAAACAGGTGAGTCCAGTTTAGTGCGATCAGTGTCTGATGGAACACCAAGTACCCGTGGGAGCAGAGAAGGAGCATGCAATTCTGGTTGAGGCAAAGGCAAAAAGGAAAACAAAAACTGGAAAGAAAAGCCTGATACGAATCTGAGGTGCTGCCGAACGCCAGGTTGTTTATTGAGGCGACTCAGCCTTCCGGCCGCCCGGCCTTGATTTCTCCTCACTGTGCAGTGAGTCGAGCCGGCCAGCAGCCCTTCTGTTCCGCCCCAGTGTTGCCAGGTGCCATCCACCATCGGTCCTGGGGCAGCTGCGTCTGCTTTGCATCTGACTGCAGGGCGGGATGCCAGCTGCCACTTATGATGGTAACTGCAGCCGCCTGGTCCCTGTTAGCTCAGGCGTCCTCTCACCCGCACTGTCCTTCCTGCTTTGACGGGTGGGTGTGTCTGCCAGGCCTTCCTGGACACGGTCACCCACTGGCCTTCTGCCTTAGTTGGCTCACCCGCCCTCCCGTGTCCACTTCACTCCACCGTCTGACAGAGTGATTCCGGTATTTCTACCTAACTTAATGTGGCCCAGAGCTGCTTATGTGCTCCTTTGAACCATCCTGACGACCTGTGGCCACCACACCCTAGGGCCTGGCCAGGGTGTTAAAACCCACGTCTTGGGTGAGTGCGCCTGAATCAGTGAACTCTCCCTTATCAGGCTCTGCCTGGCCTTGGCTGAGCGCGCTCAGCGCCGTGCTCTCCTGGCCCTAGCTGGCTGCCCAGGCCCTGCAGCTCCCTCAGCAAAGAGCGAAGATTCTCTTCCCTCTAACCCCGGGCCCCGCACGTCATCACAGCCAGCTGGGAGCAGAGACGTGGGCTGATGCCGGAGTGCCTGTTGTTCTGCAGGGCCATGGCCTTGGCATAGCAAACTGGCTAGGGAGAGGTTCAATCTTTGGAACTTGGCTGCTCTGTGAGTAGGTTCTGGACTCAGCCCTCAGCTTTCTCCTCGGTGTGGGTGACTGCACGAGGGGAGAGCCTTTCTGTGCTCCCGGGAGATCCTCTGGCTTCCACAGCTACCTTTTAATTACCTGCAAACCACCCTCAGCCTTTTCTTTTCCCAAACACTTCATGCTCAAAAACAGCCACGCCGTTTGGCTGTCCCTATAGTTTCTCCCTCCATACTTCTCAAACTCCTGATACCTGGAACCCACAAGAGAATGCTCTTCCACCAGAATACCACCCCAGTTCATCAATGGTAGAAGTTTTAACAATTTTGTTACCTTGCGCCAACAGTGAAGGGGTCCTCGTGGCCAGTCGGCGACCAGGGCTCCAACTCCAGACTCCCATCCTAGCACCTGCTTTCTGGGATCCCCGCCTGGTCCCAAAGGCCACAGCTCCCAGGGAGCGGAGTCTAGATGAAGATTAGCAAGCAGAAAGCTTACCAGAGAGCACGCCCCAGAATCAACACCGGGGGAGAGATGAAGGGCCGTGGGGTCAGGCAGAGGGAGACACTGGTTTTCAACACTAGTCCAGGTTTGGGCTAGGAGACTGGGCGTTAAAAAACCCCACTGCCCAATCAGGGAGGCCGGCTGCCCAGAAAGGAGGCGGGACCCTGGTCAAGGTGATTCTCTTCAGGTGAGAAGACGGAACGCGAGGGCTGTCAGCTGCTCCTGGAAGCGCTCATCCCAGTTTATCACAGTGTCCACTGGACTGTGCGTCCAGACGCTGGCTGATGAGAGACTGGAGACTGGTGAGATGTCCTCCGGATGTGAATGGTGGCGTTTCTTCCGATCGGTTCAGACGTGGTGTGAATCAGGAACAAGCCCACGTGCAGACAGACAAGGTGGGGAGCATGTGTGTCAAACAAGGTCTAACTGTGAACAAGGACGGGGTGGCGGCCTGGATGGGCCCCGGCTGCGGGGACCCTGTCCTGGGAGGGATGTCTGTTTGTAAACAGACACGGGCTCCCAATCGAATGTGGAACTTTGGGCTAAACTGTACTTTTCAGTATAACACCAAATTTTTAAAAAGTATATTTGGAACAACGTGGGTATGTAAGTCTACTTTTTTAACTGTAATTTTTATGCAATTTAAATGCAGATGAAGTATTCTTCACGAAAATTTAACATCTTAATTGAGGTGTGTTGTGCATGCAAATTACACACTGGATTTCAAAGCGTATGAGAAGAATGTAAAATGTACCATTAATAATTTGAAGACAATGATGATGTGTTGAAATAATATGTGGATATATTGAGTTAAATAAAATATATCAATAAAATAAATCACCTTTTTCTTTTGATTTTTTTTTTTTTTAGTAAAGCTACCAGGTGACTTAAAATTACTTGTCTCACAGTAACTGTACCGCGCGCTGTGAGAAGGAAATCAGTCAGGCAGAGCCGCACGGTTGTCACATTGGCCACTAGGGGGCAACCTTATCCCAGGGCTGCAGTGTTCAAATACTAGGAGGCCGCCTCCCCCACGATCAATCTGGAAGGAACTTGAGAGAGAAACATCAAGATGGGGAGAAAACTGAGGGAGAGACCCGGGGGAGGAGAGAATGATCTGAACCGGGATGGTGCTTGGTCACTGCTGTGGGCTGCACTGTGGGGTGAGACGGTAGCGAAGGAGCTTTGGGAAATCTGCCTGTGTCTCCCCCGGCTCCAGGGCTTTGGGGCAGCAGGGGCCCGCCCCGGACCCATCTGTGACAGCTGGCACAGGTGTCCTCCAAGTAAACGGGCGGTGCAGAAGCTCTGTGGACAGGAAGACTGCCCCTCCCCACCCTTTCTGGGTGATGCTGAGCAGGAAATGGGAGTCCAGAGCAGTTTCTTGGTGGGATAGCAGTAAACAGCTGAGGCTTTCTGGCATCCAGAGCTCGTCCACTGCCTCCTATTCTTGAGCTCAAGAGACTGACACCCAGTAGGGACCCTGACCTCCCTCCGTGGGTATTGTGGCACCCAGTACGCAGGGCCCCTACGGAGATATGCACTCATAGGCCAAAATAATGTGAATTCTGAGAATCTCAACTCCTTCAACAAAAATTCACCAATTGGTGCTTCAATAGAAAAGATAATTATAATAGAGTGAAACCCTAAAATATGTTTAAATCCACAAGAACTTAATGATACTAAAAAACAAACAAGTCAGGTCGCTTTTAGGTGGTAATAGAGGACAAATTCATTATCCTCAAAAATCAATAAAGGGAAAGATTTTTTTTTTTTAATCTGTAAAGGAAAAAGAAGAAAGCTTATACCCTGCATGAATAGGACCACGGGATGATTGAAGGATCAGTGCAGAGCCATCTCTCTGGAAGGATTCCAGACGGTAAATGTGAAAGCAATGTTAAAATTAAAACCCCCCATGTTGCAAGTCCCAAAGAACTGCTAGATCAGCACTGAGCATCAAAGCCGGCTGAGCTCATGAAAAAGAGAAACAGCTGGTCCTAACACCCTGGCGAAGAAAGCCAGCTCCACCTGCAGCCTGGCCAAAGGGACTGGGCCTGGGACTGATCAAGCCCCTGGATTTAACCGCTGAATCTCAGCAAGCGCAGGGGACGGGAGGGAACAGTGGTGCCAACCTCTGGCGCTGGATCGGTATTTCCCGAGCTACGCAGTTTAGTGTGGGGGGACTTGGGGCCTGAAGCAGGAAGGGTGAAGACTGGATGCTTGTTCTGGGGCCCTGGGTGTGGAGGGGACCAACGGCAGAGAAAAGTACCTGGAGCAGGTCAGGGTGGAAGGAGAAGCCTTCATGGGTAGGTGATTGTGGTTCCAATGACCACCCCTCAGGGCTATGGACTGTACAGCCTGGCCAGGGACTCCTCCTGCCTTCCAGAAAGCTTCATTGGTCAAAGCTGGCTCTCCAGCAAGTGGGGCCTGAATTCTACCCCCAGGGGGGATGAGATGCAAAGGCAGTTTTCTGAGAAGGCAGCAGGTGAGGCTGTGTGGAATACCTGAACCCTGGAAAGGGAATGGTAATACCGCCCCCTGGTGGGTAATGGAGAAACTGCAGCACCACACCTCCAGGTCACAAAGGGACGGGCAGTCAGTGTTTCTCTACAGATGATTTTACTGGGGACACTCAGGGCTGGGATGGTAAGAGCCTCTGGCTCAATTGTTGGCCAGGATCCCCTCAACCCAGGGAATGAGCTCCGTGACGCGAGCATACACTGCAGGCGTGGAGGTGGAGCAGACGCCGCTGCCCCAGGACACGATGCCCACCAGGGTCCAGGCTCCATCCTTCTGGCAGACCAGGGGGCCGCCGGAGTCGCCCTGCAGGAAGGAAATGGCCTTGTGTCCAAGCCTGAAAGCGGTTGCTTGGACCCTAGTGTGCCCTGGCCTGGCTGAGTCTGGGGCAAGGGGGGCATGCAGAGAAACAAGTGTGGGCACAGCAGTGCGCGCCAGGTCCTGAGATCCGGCCAAACGGCAGTGCCAGCCCTGCGGCCCACTCCTGAGGCCCTAGGGCAGCCGGCTTACCCTCCCAGCCCCGCTGATGCTGTACCATGGGCATCCTGCTCACGGGGGTAGTGTGAGCTGGGAGGCCTGGGGCCACGTCTGGCCAGAGCGAGCCCTCCTCAGGGCATCTGTTAGTGTTGGTCCCGGCTTTCGCTGGTGCACCCGGCAAGGTGAGGGGTTAAGTAGATCATGGTGAGAGGAGTGGCCCCCTGGACTGACCAGGGTGGGGCATGGGCGGTGAGGGTGGGCACACAGGTGAGGACATACCATGCAGGAGGAGACGCCGCTGGCGCCAGCACAGACCATCACGTCGGTGATCTTGCTGCCCCAGAACTTCTTGCAATTGGCGTTGGACAGGAGGGGCAGGGCTGCCTGCTGCAGCTTGTCAGGGGTCTTGGTGGCTGGAGGGACAGAGGGGGTGTGGTCAGGGCTCTTCATTCCACCAGCCTACCCTGGAGGAAAGAGACCAGGGGCTTCCTGGAGTCCTGCTCTCCCCTGCGTGGTCTTCAGCCTTCACCCGCACGCCATCGTGGATGTACAGCTCCTCACCTTCCCTTAGGCCCGACCAGCAATTGTGGAATGCAGCTCCTTCCTGATTCCACACCAGGCAGTGGAGACTCTGCTTTGAGCTCAGCTGTTCACACAAAACCTGCCCTTGCCAAGCCTGGTGTGGACTGGGCCCTGCCAGCCACTGTATGGGGGGCAGTGCCCACCCTTCCAGGGAGGGGAGCTGACATCCTTGTGACTGGAGACCCTGGAGGGGACCCACCACTCTTGGCAGCAATTCAAGAGCACCCTCCCCCCACTGCCCTTTCCTGGCTGCTTCTGTCCTGTCAAAGGACCAGCCGGGGCGCCGGGGCGTGGGCAGAATGTAGGGCCCCAGAGGAAGAGAATCGGGCAGAGCCAGCAGCCAGGGAAACAGAGAACAGGTCCGGCTCTCAGAGGCCCAAACCCAGCCCGACGTCTCCTTGAGTCTGGAGAGTGGTCCAGGCTGGAGACGGGGCCCTGTGGAGCTTGGTGCAGGTCAGCGAGGGCAATGCTGCTGGTACTTAGGTGTTTCTTCAGCAACTTGCCATTCAGGTATATATTACTAAACGACGTTTTTATTCACGTTTGATGGGTTGCTCATTAAGAGGGCTTAAATAAAGACAGGCAAAGACTTACAACTAATATTGGAATTTAGACCCCCAGAAAGATCCCCATGGGTCCCACCGGGAGACTCTGCCGCCCAGGCAGCCCCGACCCCTCACAGAGCTCGCGGTGCAAGGCCTCGCACGCCCCACTCACCACTGTACTTGGTCTTGCCCCAGCCGGTGGTGGCGCACAGGGTCCCGGCAGCAAAGTCGTCGTCGGCGTTGGGCAGGCACACGGCGGACACGGTCCGGGAGAAGCGGGCGGGCGTGGCCAGCTTCAGCAGGGTGATGTCGTTGCGGACAGTGATCAGGTTGAACTTGGGGTTCTTGAAAACCTGAGGGGAGGGTCCAGAACGTAGAAGTGAGGCCCTGGGACCAATCAACGATCGGAGACTCCCCTGGCGGCCGCTCAGGGCAAACAGACCCGCAGAGCCCGGATGTGGGCTGAGGCCCCGGCTTTTTGCCCTCCTGCCCCTGCCCCAGCCCCTCAGCCGAGCTACCCAGCCCAGCGGGGCCTGGACGTACCTTGGCAATCTCCAGGACCTGGATGTCCTCCTCATCCGAGCCCTGGTCGAACTCTCCGGCCACAACCAGGTCGGAGGTCCTAGAAGAAGCATCTAGAGTTAAGGACCCATAATGTGCTTCCTCCCCCTACCAGACCCTGGCCCAGGCACTCACTTGACTCCGCAGTGGGCAGCAGTGACCACCCAGTCCTCGCTGATGAGGGAGCCCCCACAGAAGTGGAAGCCGGTCTTGTCCTGGAGGAAGATGGAGAGGTCAGCACAGACTGGACCCCTGCAGGCCCACCACCCCCATGTGCCCCCACTCACAGGCAGAGTCCCCCCTCACCTGCAGGGACACCTGCCAGGGCCAGGAGCCAGGGACAGCGTCCTCCCCATTGACGATCCTGGACAGGCCGCTCAGCACGGGCTGGATGGCGGGGACCCCACAGCCTGGGGGTGATGGGAAGGCGGGGGAAGAAGGTCTGAGGCCTGGGGCCAGTCTTCGAAAATGCTGGCTCCTACCTCAGCCCACCCAGGCCACACTGCCTCCCACAGGTGCCTTCTCCCGGCACCTCCCAACCTGTAGGCTCACGGACACCCCCCCCCCCCAGAGCTTGCTGACCCCAGTCATCTGAGGACGCAGAGGGACAGACTGCTCCCCTTCTGGACCTCCTGCCTGAAGGAGCAGGACACAGGCTGAGAAACCAGCCTGCCTGGCCCGACCCCGGCCCCCTCCTTACCTAGACTGCACACCCGGTGCTCACTTTCCACAGTAACCCGGGGGGCAAGCAGCTCTAACCCCAAGGGGCGAGGCTTGCCTGTTCCATCATGGGTAGAGGGGTGTGGAATTAAAACCTGACAACCCCAGTGCACGGGGAATGGGGAACTCGGACCCTGCTGAGGGTCTGTGCATGTTCCCTCTGACACAGCTGGGCCCGCACCAGGCTCTCTCTCCCTGCAACTTCGGGAGCTACTCTCTACACCAAGTTTTTGTCTCTTAACGCTGTAATCAAATGGGACTGACTCCACACAACGAAAGGACACACGGAGGAAACAAAACAAAGGACTTGAATTGCCAGGGGAATGGGAGAAAAGACAGGTGTATTTAATACACCCAGGGAGCAGTTGCTGGGTCCGGACCAGGCAGGCTCCGCC